ACTATATACTATATTTTGAATCATAACCACATATTGAATAGAATAGCGTCATATATTTCATAAATGGAAATTAAATATTCAAAACTATATACAAAGGAATTAAATAAAAAAAAATTATATGTACTTACATATATTAAAAAATGAAAAAACTTAAAAAACTAAGTTCTTTAATTCTTGGACCATATTTTGCATCTCCAAAAAATTTCTGACCTGAAAAATGAAAACACAAATTAATCTAGAAACCGCTGATGCATATGAATAAACTAAAAAGTTAATTCAGCAAACCAAAATAGGAACATTAATCATTTCTTCTTGATCAGTTTGTGTACGATTGTGTACGATCTTTTTGTGAATGTATATTATTATTACTGTTGAACCATAATTCTAGGTAGCCATAAATAAATAAATAAAAACTCAAGGATTTACTTCATTTTTTTTTTTTGGTTAGGGGAGGAGAGGACATACATTGAAGTTACTATCACCAGCAGCAACAGGTTTTGGCCAAAACCCAGTGTTTGAGCAACCATTTGAGGAATGTGTGACCTTGAAGCAGCACTGCCATTCTGCATACAAGGGACAATTTGGATGGCTTGATGATCAATATGAATAATGAAAACAGGTTAAAAAAAAATATTAAAACAAAAATCCAAAATTGCATGATGCAACTTGTAGTCATAAAAACAACGAGAATTGAAGTATATATATATCAGCTTAGTAAATAATGCATTAACTGGTACTTGCAGTGGCTACAAATAACTTGGTTTTGTACTGTTCATACAATAACTTAGTACATTTATCACTGAGAATTTAAAAAAAACAAACAAACAATTCAACTACTTACACTTCCCACATAACACAAATAAACTAAAAATAAATCAAAACTCACAAACAAAAGCCAAAATATCCCCAACATTTATCACTTTGATAAATTTCTCGATATCACTACCAGTACCAAATGATCATTCCATTAACACAAATCACATCAAAAAAGTCTTCAAAATTTCTCATTATCAAAATGATTGGCAAATACATATCTACTACCATTTCACATGGTATTCTATAATCTACTTAAACAACTGTTTTACTCCTGATGCAAATATATCAATTACCTAAGGTTTTACCATTGCATTTGAAGTTGCACTTGTTCTTCTTTAACCTGACATACATGCATACCAACAACAACAAAAAAAAAAGGAAGAAAAAAAGAAAAAGAAAAATCGTACAAGTATTTCCTAGAAAAAACGCAATGATAAAAAAGTAGGGTTGTTCATCTAACCCGGAGACCCGGCAAACCGTCCAATCTGAACCCACCCGACGAGCTACGGACAGTTTCACATGTGCTGTGGTTCGGTTATGGGTGTAAATCTATTGTTTTAACAAGTTCACGGTCGGTTGTGGGTGTAAAACATTTCAAATCACATCATATTTCAATGAACTAAAGAAACCGATCGTCAAAACAGGTACAGACTACAGAGATGAGACAAACAGTAAAGGTCATAAACCAACCCAAATATGCCATAAATAAGATATCAGGTTAATCCTTTGTGTGCACCATAAGAAAACATGCCACTGCAGAAGGATTATCCAAACCAACATGAAGTGCAGGGAAGTATGTCTCTTCACCAGATTCTAGCACTTCATTGGAAACCTAAATGGATAAATATATGTCAACAAGGACTTCAACCAAACAAAAATATTTAAAAAATGCAGTTAACTGATGAGACATCTAAACCGATTGCATAACCTAAATAACATCAAGGGACAACTTCATATATATATAATTGCAAGGAATCCATAAGAAACACTGAAACTGAATTACCATTGTGCAAATACCAGACAGACTATGGATAATTTTTTTTGATTTTATTCTGGGCAATATGATCCATTAAACTAATCAATTTTCAGCTCACGCCTCAAATTATCCATACTGCTGGCTATATTGATGTTGCAAATTACCAAATTACACCATTTTTAAATTACAGTAGTAATATTGTTAAAGGAAAAAAATAAGAACAGAGAGGTTATTGATGATCTAAGAAAAACCAGTATCATATAGCATGCAGAAAAACCAGTATAATTATCCATGCTGCTGGCTATATTGATGTTACAAATTACCACATTACACCATTTTTTAATACAACAGTAATATTATGAAAGGAAAAAATAAGAACAGTGAGGTTATTGCTGATCTAAGAAAAACCAGTATAATAATGCATGAATCTTAGCCTTCTAGCCTTCCGCCCTCCGGAACAGAACGGAAGTTCCACATCCTAACTCAATCCTCATAATTGGTCAGTCCCAACTCCAACAGTGCAGGAAACTGGGAATGCGTTGGTACTTGAACCATATTTCCATATTTATTATTCACTCTTACCATATTCTTAATCTTAAATGGTTGATATAGATGAAGGGGCCATTTTTGCCTACCACCAGATTCTGTCCAGGCAATTTGGGACATTCTCTAATATGTTAGCGGAGGAAGGAAATAACATACGGCTTTGAACTCAATTTGGGCTAATTTTCCAGGATTTAAATTCATCCCAAAGGATGCCCTATATATTCTCCACAGCCAACTAAAAAATCTTCAGAAAAATGACCTCCGCATCCAAATGTACAGAATCACTTCTTTATGGAAATTCCACTGGATTAGTTTCTTCTTCATTTGAAGAATAATAAAAGATCACAGTATTTTGACTAAAAGAAAAGTGGGAAAGCGAAAACTACAATTTTGGGTTTAATAAAATGAATCAGGCTTACATGTGATGAAGAAAAATGTTGCGCATGCCATTCCGACCATTGTTGTAGTAGCTGCTCAAGCTTCCGTTTACTGCCTCTGTTAAAGAAAACTTATCCATTCAGAGGTTGACCAAAAACATCACATCTTAGAATTCCTCTTTAGGAGGAGCATCATGTTTTCAAAAGAAAGTGAAACATGCAACTCTTCTTTTATGAAAATACCTTGTTAGAGAATTATACATCACACGCATTGAAGGTTGCTACTCATCAGCTGTCATTTTGGTTTTCTTAACACCAAAAATGGCTAACATGCAAAATTATGGAAAACATAACATGGGATAACTAAATATAAGCTGCAGGCAGAAACTTGTTTCCGTGGACATGTTAGTATATCTTTTCTGAACTGCATTGTCCTAAGACACACATGGAAATCAAATAACAGGATACAGTTACTGACAAGACTTCCATCTCTACTATTACTCCAATATCCATTGAACGCCACACCACGCCTCACCTCACTCACTAATGATTTTGAAAGAGTTATTTGTTATGATTGGTAGCACTAATTAATTCACTCCACTAAACCACCAAAAAATCATATAAAAAATACATAAGAAAAGCAAATTCAATAGGAAAGTATGTAAATACCTAAAAATGAATTATATCATACCTTTCAAGGTAGTCTTGGCAGAAGGGGAGAGAAGGATCGGAGAGGATTGAGGGATTGGACTTGCAATCATCGATGAATTGCTTTAACTGGTTCAAGTTCGTGATCAGAGAGGAGATTGCAAAGAGGTCAAATCGTTCGATATAAAGGAGCGTGTAGAGAGCAGTTAGGGTTTGAGATCAATTGATTAACAAAATCTATAATTGTGATCTATAACCCCTGTTGGTTAAAGAGAAAATATTAGGTTAGATGAACCTAACACAACCAAGATATGCCTAGTTTTGGACAGTTCAGTGTTTTGGTAAACTCTGCATTACTCTTTTTGTTCTATTTTTTTTTTTCTTTTCCCCTTTCCCTCCACTTTCCTGGTAACCAAATACTAAGTATTTAAAGCACTTAGTAATTTAAGAATAATTATTAACCTTGAATCATTTTTGTTTTGATCAGCAAAACAACAAATATTTAATTAAAAATTGTAATAACAACACACATATAACTACCCCTCTGCTACCATCATTTGATATCTTAATTATCTTTTCAACTTCTTCAACTCTAAAATAGAACTGGAACTGAAGAAGAGTTATTGAAATATCAACTATGCTAAGAGTACAGATCTATATATGTTAAATCACCAAATATCAATTAAAACAATAACAAATCAAATGCAAGAAGTAAAATAATTGAATGAAATTTATGAGACAGAGATAAGAATTCGTCCTAGATTAGAGTACAAAGTTGACGCCATTAACTTCCTCTAGTTCAGAACAATTTTGAGGACCAATTCGGTTCCGATCAAATCACCTACATGCTTTGTAAATTCAGCCCCGTGAATAGATTATTTGAATCACAAGAAGAAAGAATTTCATAGATTCAATCTATATTTTAAGTGGATTCCACTCTCACTCTGATACATAGTTTAAACATTAAATATATATATATATATATTAAAAAAGAGCCTCTTTTGTAATAATATTACATGGGAAAAATCAAAGAAATAACCAATCAAGAAAAACACAAAGTTAAGGATCAAGTGGAAAGCTTGATAATTTAGGTTAATAATGCTGATTTTACATTTGATGAGGGCAATCTTCCTTCCCTACAGTGAAATTTTTCATGCCTTGAAAAGAAAAGTATTTACACCTTTATATTTACTATTTAAAATATTTTATTTTATTTATTAAATAAAATTTTAAAATTTTCTATGCTTTTACAGTACAGATCTGCTGCAAAACAACAAAATTTTCAATGAAAATACTTCGATTAAAACGCCATATGGGATTAAAACGCCCAATTAAAAAATATATATATACATAATTGTGATGAGCCTCAATTTCTTTGATCAAATCCTCAAACAAAAAAAGCCCCAAGTCTTCATTGAATAAAGGATCAATAAAACTCTCCAGTCAGTCCTCCTCAGCCCTTTGGTATCTACATTCCAACCATTCAGTTTCTAGGTACCCTAATTTGTGCTCTAAGTTAGGTGACTTCTTCCTTCTCCTCTTCTTCTCTACTTCAATTGGCCCCCTGTACTCTAGGTTCAAGTCTATTGGTTTTTTTCCTCCTCTCCTCCCTTATTTGTTTCTATCTTTTTGGATGTCTTTTTTTTTTTCTCTATAATTTGTCTTGATATTCTTTGTCTTAGTGCTTGTAAGTTGCAAATTCTGTCATTTTTCTTATGTTGAAGTTTGAATTATTAGTCTATGCTAATTTATTGATTTTTTTTACTGAAAAAGTGTCTTTTGCTTAAGTGAAGCAAGCACCTCACCTTGCGACTAGGCCCCAAGCAACCTTTGGTGCCTTGGGGGTTCCTTGAGCCTTTGAAAACACTATTCCTCCATCCCCCCTCTAGCCACTCCCTCACCCATTTAGCCACCCCTTCCCTTCCCAGTGACTTTCCTGCAACTCACCAAACATGTTTTCTTATTTTTGTTAGTATTTGTTTGGAAAACATGTGTATATTAAACATGTTTTTAGTTTTTGCTCTTTTTTTTGGTGGAGGGGGGGGGGACAATATGTTTCCTGCTTTTTGTTTACAAAGAAGAAACAGAAAATTAGTTTGAGAGTAAAATATAATGTTAAATACTAATTACCAATGGATGTAATGAGAAAACAAAGATGGAGCAGAGTCACATAAAATACCATGGTCATCAAAGTCTCCTGTAGTCATGGTGGCTAACAAACTGTTGTTGACAAACTCAAAATCCTCAAGCTTGGAAGGAGACGTTCTTGCTGAGTTACTATTTGATCCATCTTTCTTCCTCTGATGCTGAGTAGTTGCCCCTATTAGCTTCATCCTCAATTTACTTGGAGATATTATACCACCCTACATTACCCATTTATTTATACCACCAAAATTTTTTTAAAAATCAAATACCATAATCAGGAAAAATACCCAAAAAGATTATAAAAAAAAAAGAAATTCAACATTGTAATAGAATCATTTGAACACTAAAGCCCCCCATTCAAGAATTTCATTCAAACACCATAATGAGTTCTCTTATCTTACTAATTCAAAATTTGAAAGATTTGTTTAAACAAAAATCAAATATTTGGGAAACCCATCAAGATCAAGCTCTGCCCAATTGGAACTTCTCTAAATTATCAATCAGTTAAAAAAAACAATAACAAAATGAACGAACAATAAGAAAAATGATAAATAATCTGCCAATTACACAATGAATCTCCTTCGCACCACATTTTCCAGAACAAGTGTAAGTGTTGGTGCAGTGCCTGTGTAAATTCATATCTATATATATACGTACAACCTAATATATATAATCTAGGGTTTTAATAAATCGTGTCTCTGTGACGATATTTGTCGTATATTTGCAAATACCTGGTTTCAACATATTAGAGGAGGACCAACAAAAAAATATTTTCACTGCAGAGACATGTATTCGGATTCAACACAACGAGTGAACATTTTTCAGCGGATAAAAGTCAATGGCAAGAGGAAATAGTGGAATGACGGAAGAGAATGTTACCTGTATAGAACACAGAGAGAGAGAGAGAGAGAGAGAGAGAGACTGCGAGCTGTGTAATGGCGAATGGCTAGGGCTCGTTTGCCCTTTCGGCTGCTCCTCCGCCGCTCGCCGTCGATCAAGAGAGAGAGAGGGGGGGGTTAAGAAGAGATTAGGGATTTTTGAGTTTGAGATTGGGGATTTTTTTGTTTTTTTTTTTGGGGGGGGAGAGCGGGAATGAAAAAAAAAAAGAAAAAAAAGGTGGGGAAGGGAGCGGGAATGAAAAACAAAAAGGGGCAAAAATAAAAAATAAATTTTTTTTGTCAGAAATGAAATTTAAATAATAAAATAATATCGTTTAATTTTTTTTATTTTTTGTTAAAATATATATTTTTTTGTAGTTAATGAATTTTTTTTAAAAAAAATCTTTTTTTTTAGTTATTAAGATTGAAAATTTACTTGTTTTATTTTTATTTTAATGAAAAAAAATATTATTATTTTTTATTTGGTAGAAATAGGGGTAATATTTTAATGAAAAATATTTTCCACTAAAATAAAAATTAATTTTCTGTGGTCGATGAAAAATATTTTTCTACGGCCTATTTTTTTTTGTTATTAAAAATCATGAACTATTTTTTTGTGGTAGAGGAGATGAAGTGGCAGTAGTGGTGAAGGTGGTGGATAAGAGATGATGGTGGTGGTGGTGGTGGTGGTGGCGGCGAAGGAGATTAGTGGTGAAGTTGTGATACTGGTAGAGTAGATGAAGTGGCATGGGTGAAGGAGAGGTAATGGTAGTAGTAGTGGCAGTAGTGGTGAAGGTGGTGGATAAGAGACGATGGTGGTGGTGGCAAAGGAGATTAGTGGTGAAGTTGTGGTAGTGGTAGAGTAGATGAAGTGGCAAGGGTGAAGGAGAGGTAATGGTAGTAGTAGTGGCAGTAGTGGTAGTGGTAGCAATGGTAGTAGTAATGGTAGTCGTAGAGGTGAAGTGACGACAGTGGTAATAATGGTGGTAGTGGAATGGTGTTTACAGCAGTGGTAAAGGAGATGGGTAGTGAGAGAGAGAGATGAGTGAGAGACAGATAGAGGAGAGAGGAGAGAGAGAGAGAGAGAGAGAGAGAGAAAAGGCAGAGTGATGAGCGAGAGAGAGACAAAGTGGTTACTAATAGTGCATTTTCTTGTAGTGGATAGATAAATTGAGAGGGAGCTCAGTAAATAGAGAAGACGGAAGGAAGAGAGTGAGCAACGCAAACACAGTGGGAGAGAGAAAGAGAGAGAAAGAAAAGAGAGAGAGAGAGAGAGGGACAAAAAGATAAAGAGATAGAGAGTGAGAGACAAAAAAAGTGACAGAGAGAGAAGAGAGATGAATGAGAGAGACAGAGAGAGAGAGATAGAGAGATGAGAGATGAGCGAGAGAGACATAGAGAGAAGAGAGATGAACGAGAGAGATAGAGAGAAGAGAGATGAACGAGAGAGACAGAGAGAGATGAGAGATAAGAGAGATAGAGAGAAGAGAGATGAGCGAAAGAGGCAGGGAGAGAAAAGAGATGAGAGAAGAGATAGATGAGTGAGAGACACAGAGAGAGAGAGAGAAATAGACAGAAAGAAAAGAGTGATGAGTGA